CTCTCTCTCTCTCTCTCTCTCTCTCTCTCTCTCTCTCTCTCTCTCTCTCTGTGTGTGTGTGTGTGTGTGTGTGTGTGTGTGTGTGTGTGTGTTGTATTTTCACCACAACAGCCCCTATTCCACCCAGATGAGTAGGTACAAAATCGAAGCAGCTGTAGTCCTATTGCAGACAACGAAAACACTTGAGTGGAGGCAAACCAACAATGAAACAGTTTTACCTCTACAGCAAGCAACACGGAACATAATAGAAGCGTTTAAATACCTTTCTTAACTGTGTCCACTTTGAATTTTTTTAGGACCCCTGTCATTTGTTCTTGCAACTCAACTTTTACTGTGCCTCTCATGTACAAGGCTCGCCACGTTGACAGTGGTTGAGCACGACCTGCCCACATCCCGTGTGCCATAAGGGCCCACTTGCACACTATGAAAGGAGGCAGAGTAAAGGCGAAGGTATATTGCTGTTCATTTTTTCTCAGATCTTCAGCTTATATTTTGTCTGTTCTCTTAACGATGCTCAATTGTATGCATTTACTAGTGGTACACAAAACGAGGGAGGAAGGACATAGGAGGTGGAGTTCTCATAAGGGAGAGATTAGTCTAGAATGGCAAATGAGGCCAGTCAGTGTTTTGGTTGCACAAGATTTTGAATTGAGGATCAGCCGTTGCCTATGGTAAATGGTCACCCCTACAGACTGGACATGACTGGTTCGGGCCTGGATTGTGAAAGCAACTCATCCAATTCTCGCAGTCGCAGTTGCTGCATTGCATGGCACCGCATAGACAGATGTCACAGACTCTGGCTCCTACCTGGTAGGAACACAGAGGCATGCCGACCACAATTGTAGATGCATTGCCGTTCCAGCCCTGTCTACAAATTGGACATGACATGTCAGGGTGCCGTACATGAGCACAGTATTGACTGTCATCATACGCATGAAAACAAAAACTTGTATGGGCTATCCTTTCATAATCCTCACGGCACAAAGCATGTCACCCACATGCTACCCGGATCTCATTGCACAAGTTTCATGGGCTTCCCCAGTAGTTATTCCCTCTCTATGGGCAGATGACGATGGGGATTGATCCAAAGACAGGGTGTTTAGCTGCTGCAGGATTTGGTGTCCAACAGCTCGCCCTGGTGGTGATAACCTTTCAGTACAGCGCTCTGCAGGTGGTGCGTATGATAGTCTACTTCCCTTCTCAGGCTGATGCATCTGTCGTTTGTCTGGCAAGGATGAAGGAGATCCGACTGTGAAAGGTTTACACTGTTTGTTGCAGCTGGCATGGTTTCCAGCTGAGTTAGCATATCCACACTCGCGTCTACACCCCCATTCCCCCCCTCCCCTTCCCCCCCCCTCACCCGCCACCCCAACTCCATTCCCCAAAACTGAAGTTTCTCAGCGGATTAGAGCAAGCACAGTACAGCCCCAAATTCAGATTAAAAAAAAAAATCAGTGGACGGCCCACTATCCACTACCGTCTTCCCCCGAACACAACGCACCCTTATAATGAACGTATAGAAGCTAACTGTTGAGTCCGATACAGTCAAAATGAGGGCGCGTTGTGTTCGGGGGAAGACAGTAGTCGTCAAACCACCGACCAGTCGACCCTACTGGTAGGCTGTGGAAAGGTCGGCGGTCCGCTGGTATGCAACCCTGTTATGTAACATAATAGTACAAACAACTTGTGCCTCGGAGGCATCCCAAACCTCCTAGCCCAACTCGAGTTAGACTGAAAAAAGAAATAAGGAAATCATAATTAAAAGATATACGTACTCCTATTTATGGGAGTACAATTATGTGAGTACGTACTCATGTACGGGAGTACGTGAAATTTCATGAATATGTGTACTCGTGTACATGAAACACTCCATGCTACCCAGATATCCAAACAAGTAAATGTATCACATAATGCCTTAAGTCCCATTCACATGGCAGCTGACATTGGCAGAAGGTGTGGGGGAGGTTGGGAAGGCAGTTCGTGGAGGGGGGTTGAGCGTTGTCAGCAGATGGTGGTGGAAGGTCAGAGGGAGGCAGGGAAGGCCGCGGATGGTAGCCTGGCATCTCTCTCTCTCTCTCTCTCTCTCTCTCTCTCTCTCTCTCTCTCTCTCTCTCTCTCTCTCTCTCTCTCTCNGTTCTTTCCAGCTGCCAGTGGTAGGGAGTTGGGGAAGACAGCGGGTGATAGTGCAATGTAAGAGGGAGGCGGGGAAGGCAGCGGGCAGCAGTGGGGAAGGCACTCGCCAATCTGGTAGAGTTCATGATTGTACTGAGCTTGCAGTTGCCAGTTGCTTGGGGTGCGGCACAAAAACAAGACTGGCATACTGTTGCGGGTTGACACACCAAAAGAACTCTGGTAACATAGAGGCAGGCCCAGGCTCATCCTTGACAACAGCCACAGAGGTATCCGGCCAACTGGGGCTTTCGCTGGTGAACAGGCCAGATCCACAGCCGATATCCGGGCCATTCGCCCTTCGGCCAACAAAAGGACCAGACGGCCTAATTCCTCACTTGTCGATTTTGTATGGTGGGGATCGAGTTCGACAGGCCCATTAAAAAAATATATATACAAAAGAGTTTGGCAAGCCATCACGATCAATTGGTGAGCATGTGGTTTGTTTCTTTCCAGACTGGAGTTCTTCAGAAGAATAGCCACAAGCAGAATACCAATGCAGATCTCACCATCTTCACTCAAGCCGACAGCCATCAGATGTGACAAGCAGTTGCAGGGCAGCACTCGAAAGAATACAATGGGGGTATTGCAGGACTCAGAAGAGAGAATATGATGGGGGCATTGGGGGGAGCAAAATAGTCGCAGGGCTGCAGGACGCAAAAACAGCTGAGAAGGAGATGCACTAAGTGAAGATACGTGTGGCATAAACAGCTGAGGAGGAGGTAAATACACTAAGTGAAGATATTGGTCGCAATGGTAATGGAACAGAGGATGAGAAGGTGGTCTTGGCCATGGACTGGAGGAAAGGTGATGGAGAAAGAGTGGGTGGTAGGGATGTTGGCCAGCATCCGAAGATCCCATCTACAAAAGCACAGACAAGGACAGAGGAGCAAAGGGCATGTCAAGACTGAGATAGACGCACCTCACAAACAGGGATGGACCAGGCGACGGCAAGGGTGGTACTGTCGAGGCATCCAGAGGAGGTCTGGCATCTGGAACAGTCAGATCAGGATACCTGCGGCTGTCCCCAGGGAGAGCCTCGGAGAAGTCCAGCTGCTCCTGCAGCCGCCTAGCTAGCTCCTCATCCCGCTTCAACTGCTCCATCTCCTTGTTTTCTCTTTCTGCAACAACGGGGAAGCACAAACACCAGGAGTTGGTTTCCAGACAAAAGCTTCAGATAGATGACGGTTTTTTTTAACTTTTTTTCATTTTTTGTAGACCATTTCTCAATTTATGTGTGTCATCCTTGCACAGGGGTCATTGTAATCTTCTCTGTATCTTTCCAAATTTAACAGAAGTCCCAAGGACAGGATAAATGATGGACAACTGAGCGCAAAGCTGGAAAGATTGAAACAGCAGCTCTTGCTGTTTTTTATTTTTCTTTCTTCTTTTTCCCCTGACGTTGCAGTCTGCAATGAATCCATTCGTGATCCTCTAAAATGATTTTAGCAGACAAAACCAGCTTGCATCAGTTTCGGGATTCCGAATGCATGCTTCACGCGTGCTTTGTCACCGGAAATCTGTAAACTGACCTTCCAGACATCCTTTAGAATTGGAATGATACAGAGAATATTAGCATGGCCTGTGCATAAGGATGAGACACAGAAATTAAGAGGGGGGGCCAGGCAAGGGAGGAAAAAAAAGCAAAAGCAAAGAAAAACTCATAAACCTCTCATGGCATCATCTTTGCCCTACCTACTCGCTTTCCCCTCAAACAGGCGGGAGTAGGATTTGAACCTACAACATTCAGATATTGAGCCTGACGAGTTACCAATTACTCTATCCCGCGCGCGTAGTATTAGTATGGCTCTTCTTTGCACAAGAAATTGTTGATGCACCAATTTGTTGGTCACATACAGCCATAAGTCCTGCTGCGCACTCTTCGATTTGGGGGAAGACCGTCGACCCTCGGTTTTTTACTCTTGCTTTCATTCTCATCCAATCCGCTCCTTTCAGCTATTGAAAAACCAGCTCTAGATGCATGGGAACTACGATATAGAAAGCATTAGACAGCACAACATATTCAGATCAGGCAGGAGAGGACGACTCCAGAGACAATATAAAGTTCAGTTTCAGTACCAAGAACCTGAGGACGACCAATGGTACCCGGAGAGTGAATTCAATAGAGACCGCCCCAAAGATAGCTGCTGGTGATTAAAAGAAAAAAATATGGGCATCAGAATTGCAGACTAGGAAGTAGGAGTCGTAAAGAACCACAAAACCGCTGCTGGTGATTAAAAGTAAAAAATATGGGCATCAGAATTGCAGACTAGGAAGTAGGAGTCATAAAGAACCACAAAACCGGACCCGCTGGAGTGAGAGGATTCCATGGTTAGCAGGGTTTGTCCCAATCCCAGTCCCAGAGTTCCATGTACCATTATTCCAGATCTGGTTGGCTACGTAGACCTAACAGGGTACGGTAGGTTACGAGGTCGACCAAAGTCCAGTAGGGTCTGGTAGGCTGGGCGGCCGAGTAAAGTCTACTCCAGTCCATCTCAGGCAAGTCAGTGGCCCAGGGTCGCAGGAAAGTGAGTGAACATTCCACAAATGTCGGTCGACAGGCACAGGCTGGTTAGCTGACGGGTACCGGGTCGACAAGTCCAAGGGCAAGGAATCTCAATCGCTACATACAAAAGTGTTATGAACTTGGTTGTCTGACAATTTGTTTGCCACTCACACACAGAAGAACTCACACACGCCCATACATGCATGAGACAAAGGGGAGGAGGAGACAGAGTCCCACTGCACACAGATCAGAGATAAGCAGCGGAAAAGCAACCATGCACAGAAGGGGAGACTACACACAGTATTTCTCTCTCTCTGACACACTCCCAACAACCAATCACAATATGACACCGCGAAGATCACAATTGGAATATGGCACAGATGATGAGCCAACTCAACTCAATTAACCCCAATTATCGTTACAGAGTTCAACCCAATGTCTCCCCACCCCCGTACTACTCACTCCACTCACTACTCCACTCTCAGAGTCTAGCGCTGCACTGAAACAGCCTCCCAGAGGCCAGCGCCATACACCCAGATGAAGATCATGAACAGCGATGTAGTCCTCAGTGCCGATGAGTCACTCTGACGAAGAAGAAGGCAGCTTTGGCTGCCCAGCTGCTACGGAGGCCCTGCGAAGTAGGGCGCCAGCAACAGCATCCACCAATACCCAAGGAAGGGCCTCCAAATAGCCCTGCCGCACGCAGATGCCCCAAGGGCAGATGCGCTGAGAGAGCCCCAGCTCTGGCTAACTCTCAGAGACCGGCTATGGCTGCCATCACCTAGCTGAAGTCTCAGGTGCCGTTGTAGACTTTCAGCGCTGCAGAACTTGGTTGGCCCCGAACGCTGCACGCGAAAAATGAAAAGCCAAAAGTCCCCAACCGATTTTCCTAAACTCCTTATAGAATTCCTACTCTAGCCTAGACCTAGACCGGACTGACTGACTGACCGGTACCGTTGCTGTTTCGGCCTCTCGGCCTCTACCGGACCCGGCTATAGGCTATAGGACTGTCTAGCAGAATAGGCCACTTAAGGCCTGTCTGTCCTAGGGGTAGCCTGGGCCTGCTATAGGCAGTTAGGGTAGCTGTAGGAATTCGGGTTAGTACCGGGCCTGTATTTTCCCGGGATTGCAGATCTGTCCCTCACGAAGTTCCTCACAGGCAGGTCTCTCGGTTAGCCCTCAGCCAAACAAAATACGAATCTAACCCTCTAGGTTAGTGTACAGCCTCGCAGTCAATCTCGGCAGCAGAAACCAGCAAGTCATTGCAAAAGCACGACCACAGTTGGAGTCAACACATAATTCAACACATGTTTGATGCGAAAGCACTGTTGCGCAGTAGAGCCACCAAGTGACAAGGGAGGCCTGAAGTGATACCGCGTGAAGTAGTCGACACGCAATATACGCCATAGCTTAGTATAGGTTGGGAAGAGGAGAGACAATCAGCAAGGAAGTTTGAGGCCAGAGGGCTAAGGGAGTGAAAGAAAGAAAGAACTAATTGTTGTTTGCTGACGGCCATGTCCGCCCAGCTTGTGCATACACACATAAGGCTGCGAAAGCACTGTTGCGCAGTAGAGCCACCAAGTGACAAGGGAGGCCTGAAGTGATACCGCGTGAAGTAGACGACACGCAAGATACGCCATAGCTTAGTATAGGTTGGGGAGAGGAGAGACAATCAGCAAGGAAGTTTGAGGCCAGAGGGCTAAGGGAGTGAAAGAAAGAAAGAACTAATTGTTGTTTGCTGATGGCCATGTCCGCCCAGCCTGTGCATACACACATAAGGCTGCCCGGCGCCCGATCATGCAGGTCGTCCAATTAGGGTGTCGAGCGTCTTTTGCACAATTTGATACCACGCCTTGTCAGAACCGGTAGAACGGTCCAATCAACTCATGGCAGTCAACAACACCACAGCCAAGCACATCCTACAAAAATACCACGTAGGTGTCCTTGTATTCCTGCTGGAAAAGCGTCCCTCACAATAATTGACACCGCTCGACGCCTCTCACCATTATGGCCGGGAGATCCTGAGACAACGGCATTGATTTCTTCCTTTCGGAAGGATGTACCCCTGCTCCGCCCCTGCTTTTCGCTTCAGCCCTGATTCTCCCTAAGCCTGCCCTGATCTCCACAGCATTGCTTCAGCCCCTGCTTTTTGCTTCAGTTCTGATGTTACATGGCCAGTTGGGCGATGTGCATATATAACCGAGGATCCGCAATGTGATGAAAAGGACTGAATGGACAATGCAGTGCTCGTGAAGTCTCAACAAGCAGTGTACATCCTGATACATACAAAAATTTAGATACAAGTCCTGACCTGACCGGGACTGACCTCTCTCACGTAATATAAGACAGCGCAGCAGAATGCTAGAATACCAATGACTAGCCCAATCAATGTTGCAATACAGACCAAACATGCATCATCCTTATCACAAGGTGAGAAGGGGCCTGGCGCTATACACAGGAAGAAGGCGCCAGGTCCAGACCATACACAGACGAGGAGGAGGGGATCAGACGAAGAAGAGAGGGGAGATGGGAATGTCGTTAACACCAAATCTTCGGTACAAGTCCCAGATAATCCCTCGTCAAATGTCTGAAGTCCAATGTCGAGTCTGGATCCAAATGTCTCCAAGCTCTCTCTCTCTTGTAGTCTGCTGATGCAGTCAAGTCAGGTAGTGAGAGGGTGAGAGGAAGATGGTGGACTGAGAAGAGGAAGAAGAAAAACCCTCAAGATGTGCCAGGTACTAACCTGTGAAGATGGCACTGTGCTGCAGGTACCCCGAAGACAAAGCTGGAGCTATGGCGCCGCAGGTAAGTCTCCCTGGCCTCCGCCCAATCTCTCTCTCTGGTACTACTCTAGCTCCTAATAGCGCCCAGCGCTGAAGACTACTGCTAACGCTACTAGCGCCCAGCGCTGTAGACTACTGCTAGCGCTACAACTACTCCTGCAGTGCTCCTCCAGAGTGCTTCTGCCGAATCCTGAAGACTACCTCCTGCCTCCTGAACTTGCATGTGAAGTGCCTGGGAAGTACCTAGGAACTACCTGAAGCCTGCAGGGCGGGCCAGTTCTATATAGTGCTGGCCCGTCCAGGAGGCTGCTCTTACCAATGCCGAAACGTGCCAGACCCTGGGGTTGAAGCTCAACCAAGGGTTGTCTTGAAAAGAGGCCCAAATGGCCTGTGCTAAAACCCTGGTCTGGTGCCTGAGCTTCAGGGCAGGTCGATCTCATGAGGGCCTGAAAATGGCCCTCCGTTTCAGGCTAAAAAGACTCAGGGCTGGAAAGGCCCTGTTTTCGGCTGAAACGACACAGGACCCGTAGGCCCTTGTTTTCAGGCTTTCAGGCTGAAACGACACAGGGCCTGTAGGCCCTTGTTTTCAGGCTTTCGGGCTGAAAACGACATGGGCCTGAAAATGGCCCGTGCAGCCTGTTGCAGGCACAGCATGTAACACCCCCCCCTCCTTATGAAGTCAAGCCAGGTCGAGGGCGAAGCTGACGATCTGAAGGTGGAACCTGGACGCGGGTGCGACGTGGAGCCAAAGATACCGGCTTGCCTTGCATCTTGCGTGCGTAGCGTGCGAGAACATCTGGAGCTGTTGCTTGGAGTTCCGCACGGGTCAACC